TTCTTATTTTTTCCCAACTTTCCACAACTTTTTCACCATGATGCAATTGGATTCAAAGGATACTTCCAACATGAAAGTTGTAGTCCTCCATGAAATCTACAAATTTTATTCACAAAGTTTTCCCAAAAGATGCTTGGATCTCAGGTTATGAATTTGTGAATAGAGGTCCATGAACTAAATAACTTAGTGAAGATTTGCCCTAATTTAGGCAGGTTTTTGACCCAACTTCATGGACATTTTTCACCTAGTTCCAAGAAGTATCTCAAGTTTCATTTCAAATATGGATTGTAGAGCATGTTGCAAGATTTCCAAAATGTCAAAGAACTCTTCAAGATCATTTGTGGTTAGGGTGAATCGAAGAAGAGAAAATGGCATTTTATCACTTTTGTTCAAGCCATTTTCACAATGCACCAAGTTGCAAATCTGATCAGGCATGCTTGTACCTTGCATTATAGGTCCTAAATCCCTTATACACTCCATAATTTAATGCTAACTCAGTGGTTAAAGCCTTTGTTTTCACCTTTGGAGCATTGCACAAGAGATTAATCCATAAATGGCATAAAGGGCACATTGCCATTTTCATAAAGGAAACTTTTTGCAACTTTACAATTCTTGAGCCATGGACCTGTTTCTTTGTTACAAGCAATGTCCACAGATATCAGGCAATGTTTACCCATCCTTGGCAGCCCTAGAACTAGCAAGTACAATCCTTTGGCACAAGTCATTTCACTTTTCTTCAAAAGCAAGAAAAGTTGCAAAAGTCAAAAACTTGTACAAGCTGATAAAGGGAGGGCCTGACATCATTCAAAACGACTACAGAAACTTGTTGCAAGCTAGCACACTAAGGCATAACCTCTGCAACATTCAAATCTTCAAAAACACAAATTTATGCCCAAACAGGGTAGCCTCTACAAAATCCTTGCCAACTTCATTTTGGCTCGTAAGTTTTGCCTTTCAACCTTTGAAACACTTCATCCACATAATATCAAAACTATCCAAGCCCCTGTCCTATTGTTGTAACCCCTATTTCAGACATTACCATCTTCAAACTTGGAAGTTGCAGGTTGACTTCTACAAGGAGTTTCAAGCATCCTCAAGGCAAGCTAAACATTGGAATAGCTTGAGGGAACTTCAAGGAAGCTCACACGATCCTCAGGTCTCACTCAAAGTCCCCACATTGCCATATCCAAACTTAGCTGAACAAGGTATTTTTCAAAACTCTATCTCTCTATTTAGGAATCCTCAAGCTTTGATTTGTGAAGCAAAAATGTAGTCCTTAACTTGCTGAAGCTGTACATATGCATAGTTGTCGTTTATATTAACTGAGTAGTGAGAATTTAAAGCTTGAAGTTCATGAAAAAATTAGGTCAGAAATTAGGGCTACATAAATTCTCCATGATCCTTGAGAGTTATATTATGTTTTTTATATCATTGGAATCGTGAGATTCCAAGCTACATTTTTATGTTGCAAGTTTTTGTTTGTGTGCAAGGAATATAGAGTTACAGGTTGAAGGAAAAAAAACGCGCGCAGGATGTTTGGCTGGAGGATAGGGACGAAGCTGTTCTGGGCCTGGCACGCCTTGGGCTTCTATTTTTGCTTCCCATACCCCCTGACTTGATATCCACACCCCCTTTGCATATTTATTTTATTTTTTCATTTTTCTTTTTATATTTTTATATTTATTGTTTTTAATTCTTTTTCTGAAGAATAAAAAATCACAAAAATAATTTCTTTATTTTTTGCATTTTATTTTATTATTTTTATTATTTTTTGGCATAAAAAATAGTTTATTAGGTTTATAGAATTTATTTTATTAAATAAATTTGTAAATACAATTTAAAAATACTATGTATTTTTATTTTATTATTTCACACATAAAATAATTATTTTCATACATATTTTAATTTTTAATATTTGTTAATAATATTATTTATTATTTCTTGTACATAAATGGATAAAATAAATAATATAGAACATATTTTTCTTTTAATAAAAAAAAACTAGGGTTTCACCCTTTTCAAAAATAACAATATTATTTTTCTTATTTTTAGGACTTAAATAATTTTATTTTTTCATACATAAAATTAATACAAGACATTTTTGCATAAATACATTTTATTTGCATATTTAAATATTTGTATATTTATTTATCTTGTACAATAATTCAATTGGGTTGTAATAGTATTTTAGGGTTTTATTTTGTGCAAATATCCCAATTCAAAAACTTGTATCCCCCCTCCCATAATAATTGTTGTAATAGCTTAGATTTATTTTACGCAATTTATCGCATTATACCATGTTTAGTAAAACTAGGGTTTGCATGATAAGATAAAAATCAAACAAATAGACATGACCTAATACAAGACAAACAAAAGCATGTAAAATGACAACACATTGCACACAAGCACCCCTAGGGTTTCACCCACTTGGTTTCCTAATTTAAATGGCCATGGTATGCATGCAAAGTATCTTGGCAAAACAAAACAAAACAAAAGATCATAGTCTCTCGATGACGCTATCAAAAGGTTGCCTAAACAAAATGATCTTGGTCCCTCAAAATGCTAAAGATACTTGGGAACATTGTTATCATGGTCATACGATGACCCACGCCCGTCCCATTTAACATCCAAAGATAGGGTTGTTTACCAAAGCAATGGTAAATCAACAATGTCAAAGGAATAAAAATGCATAAGAAAGACTTTTGAGTAGATATAATGCTTCTAGTTACTCGATCAATTTGCAAACAATCCTTTCTATTTTCAAAAACAAACACACACACATTTCAAAAACATTTCCAAACAACTTTCAAAACATTGAAACTTTTTTCAAAAGACAAACATCTTTGTATACATTCTTACGAACGAGAATCATTACAAAGATTTCCTAAACGATGGCCTCTTTTCAAAATACTTTCAAAACCACACAAAGCACCATCTCAAACAATTTCAAAGAAAAAGCAAGTGATCTAAACAAGTAACTAAGAGCCCATGAAAACCATGGATAAAAAGGGTGCTAATACCTTCCCTTTTCATAATCTACCCCCTGAACTCAAGAAAACATCTCAAAGGTCTTTCCTGTGCTTTTTTACCTTTCCTTTTGGACAAAAGAAAAGTCGGTGACGACTCTTGCTAACTGCGACATTTGCAAACACAAACGCAAAACCTTAAGTCAGTTCTCTCACTGCATCACACGCATCAACGAGCAAGAGTTACAAAAAAAACCCTAAGTCCTAAGGGGTCATCTATAACACACCATGAAGTTCCCAGGGAGATTCCACAGCGGCTCCGGCGATTCTAAACCACAAAAACGCCGCCTACCGCCAACACTCCCCAACGGCATCCTCACAAACGAAACTCTAAACCCTAACCGCTTGAATATCTAGAAAGTAAATGGCAAAAATACGAACTACTGAAAGCGAAAAACGATGGAAACTAAAAACTTACAAGTTAGTAGAAGAAGAAAGGCTGGAAGTAGCAGCCGTGAGCGATAGAACTCAAGAAACAACAGTGGTCGACAGTCGAGCTAATACAAGTAGTTGAGAGAGAATACGAAAAAACTAAACTCCATACTCCTCTCATATTTAAAGTTGAGGCCATCCGTGCATGCGAGACACGTTGTTGTACCCTAAAATTTTCCCTCCCATTTTTCATTCAAGATACTATCCTAGGGTTTCTCGAATACCTAATTTGGCTCAGAAATTGATCAGACATATTCTCTTCCTAATAAGTAAATCAGCAATTAGGGTTTGCCTTTTTCAAAGAAAGTTGAGTCTTCAAGGTTTCAAATGGTCTTCATAGGTCTTCATGTCTCCCCACGGTTGTTCAAGTCAGTTTTCAAACCTCACATTGCAAGCTTGCTCAATCAATGGTCCAGATAACTGAAAACGACTACGTCGACTTGAAAATCTCTTTTTTTGCAAGAACAAATTCGAACAATCGTAACTTATTCATTATTCAATATTTTTAAATGGTTTTTCTTATATATGTTTCTCCTTGATTCCATACCAAATCTCTCTTCGCAAATCAAGAGCTGATTACGCGTAAAGGATCACCAAAAATTCGAATGCGTTGGAAGTCGCATCATGAATTTTGACCTAATTTCAAATAATAGCCGTCTGATTTCTAAGAATTGTGATTTCTTCAAGTTACAAGACTTTGAGACGATGATTTCTGTTCATGGTCATATGCGATGTCGCTCACGGGTTTATCTTAAAAAAAACCCGAAGAAAGATTGGGTTTGGAAGACTTTAAAATTATCGAATCGTCGTAAGGCATTTGTTGATTTTAAATTTTTCTTAAACACAGTTTATTGAAAGATTAACGTTTGTTCTCAGAGCATGTTTTGTTTGGACAAGATGTGAAGATTAAGACTATCGTTTAAAACGACCTTGATTTTGGATTCAAGTCACCATGTTGGAAATTAAGTTAGGATATTAGGGGAATGATTTGAGGATTCATTTGAACCAAATTTCAGATTTCAATTCAAGTTAGCAAAGCGCTATGCGATATCACAAGTTTCGTCCAAATTTTCTATGATTCACTCATGTGAATTATTTTAAATTCAAGGTACCAATGAATGAATTCGCTAAATTTGCTCAAGCTCATTCGAGCTTTCAATACTCGAGCTTCATTAAAATGCAAGCATGACCAAATTTGTGCTTTGATGCATGATTTCTCTAAGTTACAATTCTCATGGATCAAATTAAGTATTTCAAACAATTCCATTCAAGATCTTTTCAACTTCATCGCACCATCAAGAGAAATCCCAAACAACTCTCATGGCCTAAATTGAAAAAAAGTCATTCAAAGACCAAACATTGTTCTTCAACAAAATCAAAATTACTTCATTCAAGACCCATCAAGATCAAGTTTCAAACGCATTCATGATACATCAAGCCATGCTAAAAGAAATTTTTCATTCAAGGAATATTACACAAAAGAGACATTGAAAGCATTAAAATCATTTCCTAAAATTCTAAGCCCAACTCTTAAGACTACATCTAAAACCATGTTGCTGTCCAACCATTCAGAAGCAGCTCCCTAAAATAGCTTTGCTGCTGCCCTGTCTTCAAGGCCAAACCAACCCAAACATCTTCAATGAAGCCCAAAAAGCTGATGTCCATTACAGACCTCTGCACCACTACAAGCCAGCTTGCAAACCTGCCCATAAAAAGTAAAAAAAAAAAAGCTACACAAAACGTGCATAATAAGCCTAGAAAATCTTCTCCATTGTTGTCCATACAGAGAATTAGCAAAAAACAAAAGTTGCTCTTAAAAGTTACAAAGCAGTATACCACAATACAGTTCAAAGATATACATTTCCCCCCATTTTCTCACGATCACACTAATATAACAGAAGCAAGTTGGAGGAGAAAAGGAGGAACGATCTTACAAAACCTATGTTGCAAAGAAAAAGCCCCATAACCTTCAGAACCTTATTTTCCTTCTGCTTACCTTCAACCTACACAAATTCCTTCTTAACCTCTCAACCCATCAAACCACGACAGTATCAACACAACCACTTCATTAGCCTCAAATCTTCTTCAAGGGAGATTCAATAACATTACAGATTCATATAGAAGTAGAATAAGAAGAGTGAACCTAAGAGAAGGAGAGAAATAAGCATACCTAATTTTCTTGCGTCCGTGAATCGCGATCGAAGTCACATCAGACGAATTCTGACAGGTATGTTTCTTTTTTCTTTCTTTCCGTGCATCTTGTTTCATGAACATTTGCTTGAATACTTTTTGAATGCTTGTTGTTGTTATCATGCTTTTGAATATTATGAGCTGCTGACTTTTGGTTCTTCTTATTAACTGTGAGAGTTTAAGGCAAACTGTGAAAAAACAAACCTAAATTGAAATTTTGGAATCGGGTAAAAGATAAAATCATCTCGAAACATCACGCCATAAGTTATCCACCTTGATTGGTTTCCTATTTACACCTACGTAATTACCCTGTTCCAATACCGATAAAAGAGAAACCGCAAGCCTGTGGCAAATCAAAAAAATAGAGAGAATATAGATTAACAGAGAACACACAGAAAATCCATACAAAACCGAAAATATCACACCAACAATAACCATCTGTGATACGGTGGGAGAACTGACTTGATGTATTGCATTTTGATCGCATTTGTGCGGATAGCAAGAGTCGCCACCGACTTTTCTTTTATCCAAAGGAAAGGTAAAAAAACACAAGAAAGACCTTTCGAGATTATTTCTTGGGTTCGGGGGGTAGATTATGAAAAGGGAAGGTATTAGCACCCTTTTCATCCATGGTTTTCCATGGGCTCTTAGTTACTCGTTTAGATCACTTGCTTTCATTTGACAGTGTGCTTGTGATGTGGGCTTTGAAAGTATTTTGAAAAAGATCTCTTTGTAATGGTTCTCGTCTCTATAAGAACGCATACAAAGTTTTGTTTTGAAAAGTGGTTCAAAGATGTGTTTGTGAATCGTGTTTCAGAAAGTGTTTTGAAGAGATGTTTTGTAATGGTTCTCGTCTCTTAAGAACGTATATAAAACATTTTTTATTTTTGAAAATGTTTTGAAATGGGAGTGTAGGTGTAAAAAGTTTTTATCGTGAGCAAGCGAGTAACTAAGAGCGAATCTATCTACTCGAAAGGTCTTAAATTGTTCTTTTCTTCCTCCTTTTAATGGTGCTATCTTACCATTGATTTGGTAAGAAGCCTCACTGTTGGATGTGAAGGGACAAGCGCGGGTCAATTTTACAATCATCGAAAGCAACTTACGAGACGCTTTAGCAATTTTTGTAAGGGACGAGATCGTTTTATCGAAGGCAACATTGAGGGTCATCGAGGGACTATGATCTTTTTTATCAAAGGGTCATTGCTAGAGCGTCCCATATTCGAGGGACATGATTGTATTTCCGAGGCAACGAGCGAGGTTACCCTAGAGGTGCGCGTGTGAAAAAGTGTGTTGGTTTCAAGTTATTTTATTCTTTGATTAGGTCATCTAGCGATTGATTTTAAAATCTTACCATACACGCCTAGTTACTATACAATATAAAGAAAGAAGTAAATTGCGGGAATTAAAATTCTACGCTATTACAAAAATATTCGGGAATGGGGGTAAAATTTTTACAAATGGGGATGAATCAAATGAGATAGGAAGATCCAAATAACAAACATTACAACCAAATCGAATTTTGTGCGATTTATTAAAGCTACAATAATCTATGAGATAAAATCAACAAAATATGAAAATTAAATGTTAAGTATTTACTTGGAAAGAGAAAAGTAAAACTTATTCTAGAAAAAAATTAATTGATTGAATTATATTCTTTATTTTTTGTATTTTATTAATTTAAGTAAAATCTAAAGAAGAAAAAACAAACTAAATTGTTATTTTTTGGTGTTTTATTAATTCAAATAAATCTAAAACAAATTTTATTAAAGAAAGAAAATGATAAAAATTATTTAGAAAACCTAAATCAAATTAATAAAAACATATTTTAAGTTTTATTTAGTATTTTGCATAACAAAAAAAAGTATAAGAAGAAAACAAATTAAAAAAGAAAAAAAAACATGGGCTTATGGAAGATTTGAGAATGAGGCCCAAAGAAATTAAATGTTTTTTGCTGTAACAAAAACAAACCAAAAGAGGGGGGGGGGGGGGTATGGCCAGCGGAACGAAAATGGGATTAGGGATTTCGCTGGGCTATCTAAACTTATGTTAGCAAAACAAGATCCAGTTTTCTTAAACCAACTTATCCAACACTTAGGAGATAATAAGAAAATTAAGGTTTGGAACCCTTGTCACTCATGCAGCGCGGCTAGCTCATCTTCTTCATTCATCTTTAATCATTTTATACGTTTGTTGAAACCCTCCAAACATCTTCACTACCCGTCCCTGTCTAATTTCGCAAACAAATCACTCTTTGCCTTTTTGTCTCACCATGATTTGAGTTTTTGAAACCCTAAGTGTGGAATTCGGTCTTAAACCTAAGACCCGAAATTGATTCATCCTTGACCTCCCCCCTAACTCTCTGTTGCCGGTACACAACCGTTTCGTCTCCCTAATCAAGCTCTAGCGATTTTCTTGAAGGGGTAAGATTTATGATCTTTTCAAAGTTTACAAATTTCATTGATTGATTTTTTTTATCTTGTCATGTTTTTCTGTTAATTAAGAAATTACTCTTTTAAATGCAGGAAATATGTGCTTATGGAAGATTTGGGAGGAAGCATTCAAACCTGTTGGAACTTTATAATTTTCCTCTTGCGAAATAGGAAGGGAAAGACGAGAACGAAGATTGTGTTCAGTGGTGGCAAGAGTTGCACGAGGGGAAGAGATGAGGATGAAGGCATGGCTTTTCTGACTTGTTGGTAACTTCTTCTTATCTCTTTATTTGAATGATGATATTTCAATGATGGTTAAGGGTTGTGAGATTTTTGATGATGGTTCTGTTGGATGGTTAACTGTCCTTGGGATTTTTGTGAGGGTTGTCTGGTTCTTGCTCTTGATGTCGGTTATTGTGTTTATTGTTTTGATGAAAGCTTAGCAGGTTTGGGATTTTTTGATGATTACTGGGTTTTGAGTTTTTGAGGTTTGTTCATAGTTTGATGAGTTTTCTTGGCGATGGTTGACAGGTTTTGGGTTTTTGGCTTGGTTACAGTGTTGAGATTTGTTGTTTTGGGCTTTGTTACAGGTTTTTGTGGTTTGAGGCTTGTTCACAGTTTTTTGTGATTTTTGGCTTTGCTGATGTGTTTTCAGTTTAAGACTTGGTTACAGGTTTTGAGTTTTTTAGACTTGTTCTTGGTTTTTGGTTTGATGATTAAAAGTTTGAGATTTCTCTTAGATAATTGACAGGTTTTGGGTTTTTTGGCTTGGTTACAGTGTTGAGATTTGTTGCTGGTTTTTGGTTTTATGTGTTTGAAGCTTGGTTCAGTGATGGGATGTTTGAGGCTTACTAATGGTTTTGTGTTTGAGATTTTTCTTGGATGGTTGACCGGTTTTTGCGTTTGAAGCTTGTTAACTATCCTTTCAGTTTAAGACTTGTTACCCTTTTTCTATTGTCCTGCTTCTGTTATATTGACTCTTGGTATTTGGCCCCTTGGCCTTTTGTCTCTACAACAAGTTTTGCTTACAACAGGTTTTGTTTACAGCAGGTTTTGTTTTTTTAGCAATTTTCTTGATTCTTGGGTTTGTAGCAGCTCCTCTTTTGTAGCAAGGCTTTTGCAGAATGTGCATTTTGGGCAATTCAAATAGCCTAGGTGACTTCTTTCCTCTCTTCTCTCTCAATGACAATAAAAAAGAAATTTTCTCTTTTGCCTTTCTTCTAATTCTGAAAGGTTTGCAGTTGGAAAATGATGACTTCTTCAGCAAGCTTTGCTATTTTGTTTGATTTAGCTATTTGCTTATTTGCCATACTTGCCATACTGTTGCACTGCTGCCTGCTTTAGCTTTTGTTGATGTTGTTGTTATTTGTCCAGTTGTGCTGTTGTTTGTTGTTTAGTTTGTGCTGCTGTTTGTGATGCTGTTTGGACAATTTGTGGCATTTTGTTTGAACAGTTTGTAGCATTTTGTTTGGATAGTTTGCAATGCATTTGTTTGGACAGTTTGTAATGCTTTTGTTTTCGACAGTTTGTATTGTTGTTTATTCTTGTAGCATGCTCGCGAATTCTTCTTCTTTTTTCTTTTTGTGAACCAAGAAGGATAACCTTCTTGTGTTTTGCAATTAGGGGAAATAAATTGTGATTAATTAAACAACATTCTGATTCCACGTTGCAAACCTTAATGATGGATACTTTCTTTTTTTTGGTGTGTTCTTGTTCATGCCCATATAATTTGCACTAATCATATTTTCTTTCTCTTGTCTTCATGTGAGCAAAATTGGATATGACAAAGCAAAGAACGCAAGAAGTCCGTGGCAAGCATGGAAGTCTTGGAGATAAGCAAAGGAATCTTGATACAACTTCAATCTTCAAACAAACTTAGGCATAGATTAATTCTCTTAGGCCAATCCATCATTTGGATTTTATTTGTAATTTAGAAAAATCATTCTTGTATTGTATCCAATAGTTGTACCAATTCATCTTTAAATACAATAAGTTGTAAAACATAAAGTATTTAAAAGAATAAATTGTTTTGTAACAATGTTTGAAATTAGAGAAAATCTTATGAAATAATCTGGTGTCACTTGAAATCCTTTATCAACAAAAACTTGTAATTTCTCTTCGCATCCTAATTGATTTTTCGAAATTCCCAATCAAGATATTTGAAATAAAATGTTCCAGTCTGGTAACTTAAATTCCAAGTAATCCCAATAACTTTGTAACTGCATTTCAAACGAACGCGAACTAACCAAACAAATGTTTTAAGGACGTAATTCATTTGGTCAACCTGGATCCCACAATCATGGTTGTCCTAAATGACAGTCTTAACCTCCATCTCTTGTCCCAAACAAACCATACTCTGAGAACAAACATTATCTTTTCAGTAAACTGCGTTTTAAGAAAATTCAAAATCAATCAAATGCCTTGCGGGGATGTGATAATTTTAAAGTTTTCCAAACTCAAATTTCTTCCGATTATTTGAAGGTAAACCCGTGAGCGACATCACATCCGACCATGAACAAACAGAATTGTCTCAAAATCTTGTAGCTTGAAGAAATCATAGTACAACCTTGAGGAAGCATGAAGACCTGTGAAAGCCAATTGGATCTTTGAGAATTCATTTTCTTTTGAGAATTGCAAGAAACCCTAATTGCTGGTTTACTGACACATAAGAGAACTTGTCTGATCGATTTCTGA